TTTCGAAATTACAAAAATGTGTTGCCTCTCGTAATCTTTGTGCATATAATACAACGTTTTCATTATTTTGTTGTTTCAAGGCTAAAAATCTAACTCTTTCGGCAATTATTAGTCGTTTCTGTGGTCTTAAATGGGACATAATAGCACTTTTAATGTCATTAAAAGTCATTTCTTCTAATTGTTCTGGATACACCATGAGTGAAATTTTTTATCGCGTCAATTCCTGCTTTTGTGAAAAACAAATCAGGCACTTTGTGGTCACCATTTATCGTGTCTTTCAACTTTTTTGACCTAGCAGAAGCTGAAAAGCATCTAATCCAAGCTTCTACATTGTCTGGATCATCTAAACTCAACTCTGATATCCTACTCATAGCGCCATTGTTGTATCGTAGAATAAAAGCAAAACTACTTATTCATATTAATATACATCTATAGTAAATATTCTATATTCCCTTTTGTACATGCATACAATAATATATATCTATAAAAAATGCCACGTAATAAAATAGATGTTTGCAGAATGTCCGTAACTCATAGTCGGTTTTTACGGCACAACAAATATATAAAAATTTACAATAAGATATATACATATTTTTTTAGTTATAATGTTGATACTTATGCGATACTAATTTTTTTTAAAGTTATAACCTCGATACTTATTTACATACTAGATATAGATACATATAGACAGGCTTGGTCGGGAAGCGGGAGCGATCGCTCTCGATTGCTGACCACGTAAATAATATTTAGTTGCGAAAAGCTGGCCAGATTTTTTAGCCGTTTAGAGAACATTTTAAAAAGGAAAAAAAAAAAAAAAAAGCGACAAAGATTCGTTGAACCGATGAGAAACAATTACAAAAAAATAAAAAATAGGCAAATAAAATATCTTTAAACACGAAAAAAACTTAAAGCTAAATAAATTACATTTAAAACAAATATCGCTCTTTTACAATTTTTTTTATAAAATTAAGCGATGTTTTTTATATAAGTTAACAACTTACGATTGTTTAAAAGGGAAACAAATATTCTTTATTTAACTAAGTTTGCAAGTTTTAGTTTTACTTAAGCTAAATTATTTTATAAATAAAAAAGTTAATTTTTTTAATACCTATTTTATGTTTCGCGTAGTTTGAAAAGTTTAACATATTTGAAGCGATTCTTCTTAGTAAGATAAACTGAAATGATTAAATCATTGAATTACTATAGGAATTGAATTATCAAGAAATCAACTAAAAAGGTTAAAAATGAATGACCAGGAAGCGAAACTACTTCACAATATCGCTGATGATGTTTAGTGAGTGGGCTTTTTAATTTTAATTAGTATTTAAAGCAGAAAAAAGTACAACGAGTTTTAAGAATGGCAAATTAAGCGAAAATAATTAGAGTTAGTAAACCAATATATATTTGTGTTCTGTCGTGACCTCAGGCGCGATGCTTGTTCATCCGCGAGTTACTTTGTATGGATTGTTTGTGTTTAGTAACCAGAAACTTCTTATATGTTTGTTACATAATTAGTTATATTAACTTTATTGATTATAACTTCATTGAAAACGCAATTATTTTTGTAAGCCTTTGTTTAAATCATGAAAATTGCTTGAAAAGATACATTACGATAAAAAACAAATACACAAAATTACATTTACATAAAGAATACAATCTCTTTTAAAATAAAAAATAAGAATATACTAATAAAATCTATGATTTATAATAAACTTTTAAAATTTTAACAATTTAATTAATATATATTTAAAACATTTATTTTCGTAAACAAATAATATATATTCTTAAAACAATGCTAGAAATCTCAAAACGTAACAAATAGTGAATAATACAATTTCTAAAACATTTTAACAGAATACTCTAGAACTTTATTTCGCTTAATCAGCGTATTTTTTGAACCAATGGAATTAGTTTGTTCTTAATTTGGCGGGTTTTTAGTGTTCTCAAATATTCTTTTTATTCTTTCGCACAAAGATTCTTTGAGAACATTCACAAGTTTTTTATGTTTCCATGTATGTCCATAAAACAAAAATTTTTTGTTTCGTACATAAACTTAAATGTTCTCAAAACGACTAAAAAACTTGGCCAGTTTTACGCAACTAATTATAATTTTTGTGGTCAGTATTCGAGAGCAATCGCTCCCGCTTCCCGACCAAGCCTGTATAGATATGAATAAGATTTTCTTATTTTAGACAGTGGTGGTATTAGAATTCAAAATTACTTTGATTATTTATTTTTATTTCTCAGTTTCATTAGCAGTAACACTAAATGGGTATATTTTATAATTAAATTAAGTTAGCTATGTCATCAGTTAACAAACTTTCAATATCTTATCATTTAACAATTCATTCATATAATGTAAAATTTCAGGATATTTCCAGGACTTTTCAAAGATTATTTGGGGTTTTTCAAGGATATTTTGATCTTTTCTTGACCAGAAAAAAACAAAATATTTTGTCTTCAAAATATGTTTTATATATAAATATATCTGATCCTTATTTTCTTTCAACACTAAATTGTTTATTGTATGCTAACCTACAAATTTTTTAAAATCACTGGTTAGTTCATACTGATGAATAACAATCTCATGGGAATTGATTTGGTCATAAACTATGATTTGTAAAACATTAGAGATCTCTCTTGAAGATTTTCTACTAACAAATGTTTGTAAACACTGAATCATTTTTCTATTGCACATTAGCCATAAGATAAAACAAAAATGATAGCACAGAATTTCCACAATGCTGAATACTTTTGAGTTTTGCACAAATAGATACCAAGAAATTTATCAACAGAATCAGTTAATTCAATAAAGGACTTATATTATTCTCTAAATCTAACACATTCTGCACCAACAAATTCACCATATTATTGTTTTGCATCATCTGCATCATCAGTTAAAAGCCATTTTAATGCACTTAATCTCTCAGCAAGACCCTTGAATTTCAGAGTGGATACTTTCTTGTTTTAAACCATTTCACACCTTGTTTCAAAGTGTTAAACGTAGAGCGATTTATGTATGCCTTTAGCAATTTTTACGTAACCAGTAAGCGATTTTAGTTAAACAACTTTTTATTATTTTTTAATTTCTAAATTATACTATAAGCGGTAAGATAAAAGTCTGCTAATGCTTATTAAAAATTTGCAACCACGCCGTATAACGCTAATAGTTTTGCCAAATTATAAAAAAAAAAAATAAAGTTTATAAACTTTAAATATATATACTTTAATAAATATTATTTATATTTTACTCTATACTTTTAAAATGTTTTAATATATAGAATCGTCTACTTTTACACATTTTAAAGTTTTAAGCGATTTTAAGTGAAAGTTTAAATTATTTAAAAGTTAAAAATTTATTCGATAGTCCTAGAAAAACAACCGCTCTGACAAAATTATAATTTTTTTTTCAAAAAATTTTTTAAATAGTCAATAAATCATACAAAACAAAACTTTGATGTCAAATATTTAACATTTGTTCTCAGTTAATATTTTAATTGCTCATTAACTTAAAGACAAACGTGCATTACATCCACCAGCGGGTGGATGTAATGCATGTAAATTTTTTCGTCTCCACTTTGGCGGCCGCAGCCAGCTGGGAGGTAGAAGTAATTGGAGGCAGCCTTTAAAATTTCTTCTGGAGGCGGCCATCATTGGCTTCCACCTCTCTATTGGCGTCGACCTCCAAAACATTTTGCCTCAAAAAAAAACTCTAACTGCAGCCGTCAATAAAAAGGCAAAAGCCACTGGAGGTGAAAGGAAGAACATTTTGCAGCTCAACATTAATTGGGAGGCAGCCTCCATCTGTTGTGGAAGAAATGTGGAGGTGAGAATATTTATGCCGTTTATCAACACTGATTTAATCAAAATGTAAACTTTTAACCGTTTGCAATGACATCGAAAATGGTAGAGGTGGTTTTTAACGGTAAAAAAAAAATAAATAAGAAAAATGAAGATAAGGAAAATTTTAAATTATTTAGAAAAAAAAAAACGAATAAAAAAACCAGTAATAAGCAATGTAAAAACAAGATCAAATAATATAAATAGAAAAATGACTGAGGAGAAATAAGAATAGGTAATAAAAAAAAACTACCATAAACTAAATACCAAGTTAAAATGTTCGAAAATAGTAAGTAATAGTTTAAAAGAACAACAAAAATTACTACCAACAAAAAAAGAAAATGTCATACATACATAAATAATTTAAAAAATTAATCTAATTTTTTAAATTATTTATGTACATTGTTCATAATGTAATGTATTTTTGTGTTTAGTTTAAATTGTCCTGTATTTTTGTACATTTCTTATATTATAATGTAATTTTGTGCTCTGTTTTTCATTGTTTTTTTTTTGTTGTTGTTGTGTTTGATTTTGTTGATCATTTTAAACGTTTATTGTAACCACAATAATTATTATTTTTAACTTTACTATTATTATTCCTATTTTATTTATTTCAATTTAAAAACTGTTTTATGTCCTTGTTAATTGTTAGGTTTTATCAGTCAAATGTTTGTAACTAACTTATATGTATGTTTGGCTATTGTGTTTATAAGAACAAGTGACTTATTATTTTAACTATTATTGTTATTATAATTATTATTATAATTGTTATTGTAGTTGTTGTTTTATTATTATTGTGGTTCTTATGTTTATTACTACAAATATTATTTTTATTATTATCATTACTATTTTTATAATTATTACTAATTATATATATAAACCTATATTTTATTTAAGAGAATTATTATTTAAATATCCATGAAATTATTATTTAGAATATATATGATTAGTTGGTCAAACAAAGAATAAAACAAATTCCTTCACCCTATTCATTTTTATCGATTATTTTAATAAATCAACCGAATGAACAAATTTAATCGAATATTTAAAAGTTAATTTTCTTAACTAAAATATATAAAAAAGATAAATATTTATAATCTAATGTAAAACAATATATATGTATAAAAATCAAAGTTATTTATCTAATATACTAAACCTACCTTGGAGTTGCCGTTTAAGTAACAAATTAGCTTGGTCTATTGCCATCACTTTTCTTTAGTACCAACTTAGAACACAATACTAAAGAATGAGAATAATCAAAGACTGTTTTTTTTTTTATCCACAGACATATTTCATATGTATAACGTAAGCACCCCGTGAATCCGTTTATTTTTTATTTTGGTACCATTTTAATGTTAAGGCATGCGCACTAACATAACATTTGTTATGACATCATCGTAACGGATTGATTAAAAAATAAAGTTTTTTAAAGCGTTTTTGACCATTTTTTAAAACATTTTATTTTACCCTGTCGCTTCCTTTATCATATTGTGTTATAATCCAATACCCATTCCGTTTATTTATATGAAGTAAATAAAATAAATCAAAATTATTTTGAAAATGATTCTATTTCATGTCAACCTAATAGAAACTTCAAGAATGATAACTAGAATGAGAATATTAAAAAATCGCAAATTATCATTATTGATTGCGTAAACACTTAAGCATCTATAATATAGAAAGATCATCCATAAATTAGGCAACGCTAAATTTTTTTTTTTTTAAAAAAGTTAGAGATCTTAAGTTCTTTTACGCGGCGGTTTTCATTAAACTTTATGAGCTATAACTTATTTTTTATTTAAATTAAGGCTCTGCGTGGGAAAACTTTTGTTCTTCTTCGTTTTGTAATTAATTAGTGAAATTTAGCGTTGCGTAATTTATGGACAATCCCAGATGGCAATTGCGTGCCATTTCTCTCGGCGTTTTTCGAAATTCAGAGCTTAGAAAATATTATTTCAACCATTCATTTACAAAGCAAAAGAGGCAAGAAAAACGGGTCACGGGAGCTAGGTATATTAAAACCTCCCCTTAATCCAAAACATTTTCAATTTTTTTCAATTTGGGCGTATATATTTATAGCAAAAAATAAGTATAACAAAAAAGACTTTTAATAAGTTATTAAAATAAAGTTTTAAAGTTTTTGCTAGCTACGGACTTTTTGGTTTGTCTCCACAGCACAACATCTTCTGGAGCAGGACAGGCATATTAATTTCTTTCTTTATTAAGTTTCAGATTCAAAAAAATTTTTCAGACCATCCTTATTAGGACTAATTACCTGAGCACATTAATAACATCTTGACATTGTGCAACAAATTTCTCCCAGTGTTTTGATATTTTTAGGAATTTTAAGCTTTTTTAAAAATTCTCTCTCTTTCTTTTGTTACAATGTATAATATCTTTACATATGTTATGTATATAATATCTATAAAACTTCAAAAGTGTTTTATTCTGTGTTTAAAAAAACTCGGCCACACAGGCGTGTTGTCTGAACAGGCGTGTTGTCTGATATAACGAAAATTAATGCTATTGATGAAAATTAAGGAGATGTTGCCGCAATGCAATTTTTAGGTGAAAGTAAAACTGTAAACTTTGATATATGTTTTAATATTACAGGTAGATATTTGCATAGTTAGATAATAGTATACACTTTCGTTCACATTTTTTAATAAAAAAAAAGTACTGCGACTCTTTATTGCCATTAACTAGGTTGCAATGACTGCCAAGAGTTCTGTGTCAAACACGCTCGAAAAGCGTGCTTGACACAGAACTCAGCCATGAGTTTTTCAAGTTGAGGGGGGTTGCAAATATTATATATATATATATATATATATATATATATATATATATATATATATATATATACATATATATATATATATATATATATATATATATATATATATATATATATATATATATATATATATATATATATATATATATATATATATACATATATATATATATATATATATATGAAATATTGTATAGGGGAGAATTAATAAATCTATTTTAGCCACACGATATTCAAAATCGATATTAAAAATACGCTGCAAGGTTAGTCTTTATATTTAATCTAAAATATAAACTTAAAACTTATCTCTTTTCGTTTTTTAAAGAATTTTTTTTAAATGGCAAAAAAAATACGACACAAGATAAACAGAAAACTTAATTTTAACACTAAAAAAATATCTCGCATTTTTCTATTTTACACCGTGGCCCTTATCTGTGCAGCAAAGTAACATCAAGGAAACAAGGATCCCAAAAGTTGTATAGGGGGACAGGTGCAATTTGTTATAAAAGGTTAAAAAAATAAATAACTATTACATTATTCAAAAATAAATTCAGCCCTGGCTAATCAGTAAAATTGCAGACATTTAATTTTAAATAACAACTTTTGATTATTTATCGTTTAACCCATTTTCTCGCCAAGCTATAATTATCTAGCATATATATAGTAAACTTAAAGGAAACAATATATTTATTTAGTTTCAGTTTTTCTAAAAATAAACAATAAAAAGACTATTAAAATAAGTTTTTCTTTACAAAGAGTTTGATGAAAATCCTTTTGCCACTTTCTGTATGTCTGCATCATCTATTCTCTGTTTATGGATATCTAGAAACATGTAGTTTGTTAATACACTTATTCATTAGCTTAGCCATGTCTTGATCCACCCACATAATGTGCTAAAAATTCAATAAGCCTTGATCCACCACATAATGTGCTACAAATTCAACAAGCGGTTCATTTTTTAATCTTTTTTATGGGATTCATATTAATTCGTCAACATTCTTGAACAGTTCAATTCATTATATATGAATTTGCTTTTTGTTAAAAAGACGTCAAGTATTTGGGCGCCAAAATGAGATTGTATTACATAAGCACAAATGATGCTCAAGTTACCACCATTCTAATGCAACATATTGCTTCTTCTATTGTCATGTTTTTTGTTTGTAGGTTGTTTGTAGTTTAATTCATTTTCAAAAAATAGATAGATCTCATTAAAAACATACTGAATATATGCACTATTTAGTTTGCATATTAGCTCAAAGACTTTTGCTCTACAAGTTCACTCACTTGCCAAATCTTCAGGAGTTGTTTTTAAAGTTCTGTATGTTAATAGGTTATAAATTTCCCTTTCTGTATGCGTGTAGTATCCATATTGCCAAATATGGCACAAATATTCCTCCTTTATCCGAAAAGATAGAGAAGTGCGTTTAGAACTGACCCCGACAGTGACATAAACATATAATGACCATCTTTAAAAACTAGATATTTCTGTTATCATCTTTGAATACCAGTTTGTGGCAATGGACTATGCATTAAATAAAGATGTCTTAACCACTCATTTCACTTTTTATTTTATTTAACCCTCAAATTCCGATGCCACAAATTTGCTTATATTTGATACATCACCAAAATTTCTTTGATATATTCATTAAGATTTAACATTTAGAGTTATATTTAGTAACTACGTCTGGCTCGTTGAGCTCAACGTTTGTCTTTCACTCCTTTAGAAAATTACGAACCTGAATCTATTTTTGTTTATTAGTAGTTCTAATTCTATATACTGGCCTTTTTTTTGTTTAACTAATTGGTGTTTCAATTAGTTAATTGTATCTCAGTATCATCCTGATCTTTTAACAATTGGGTGAAGTCAGCTTCCTTCTTTATCTATTTTAAATCTAGTATATATATATAATAGTACATACTTTCACACAAATATTTTAATGAAGCTTTTTATTTATTTGAAAATACATTTTAGTACAACAATTATTTTCAACCGCTGCATCCGCGATTTTGTCATCCCTGCCAAAATTATTAAATTTGCAAAACAACTTAAACTTTATAAAAACATCATAAAAAACTTAATCAGAGACAATTTTTTTAACTTTTATTAATCAAAATAAAAGTTAATCAGAGACAATTTTTTTAACTTTCATTAATCAAAATAAAAGTTAAAATTAACCTCTAAAATCAAATCAATGAAATAAAACTTCAAACAAATATAATTTATAAATACCAAAAAAAACGAGGAAAAAGCAGAAATATACTGTTAATGAATATTATGTTTATTTATACATGTTTAAACGACTTTACTTTCAATATAGGAAATCATATACTATTATATTTAAATGTAGAGGAGAGCGGGGTTGGTTGTCACTTTTCTTACATTTTAGACTACTCAGCTTTTATTTTTCATCAAATCAATGCCAAACTTTGCACGAAAGTAATTTAACTATTTCCGGTAACTATTGCAATATTTTTATGACGTTGAGTGAAATATTTTTTGCTTTAAAATCGTTTATCGAAGACTTCTTCCGTGTGACAACCAACCCCACCCAAGGGGTTGGTTGTCACATACAATGGGGCTGGGTGTCACATTTCTTGGTATGCTTTAATTATATTTAGAACTAGTACTAGTAAAATGTTTTTTTTTTTAATATAACACTATAAACATATTTAGTTTAGGACTATATAAATGTTTTTAAAAATGGTGTTTTAACAAATTGTAGGATGAAAAACACAATTCTCATATAAATTGGTGTACGCTTGGTGTGCATTCTTCATGAGCCCATTTTTGACAAGCCAGACATTGAATCTACTGTTCGCTTGATCTGCTGTTAGCGAATGATTCAGAACAGTAGATACTCTTCTTTAGATGAATTTAAGACTATAGAAGTTGTTTTTTTTTTTGCCAAAAATTTGACTTCGATTCTTTTTTACTTCTATTAATAAATTATTTACAATTCTTCTTCTTATTTTTTTAAACAGCTTTCTTCTTTTTATAATTAGCAAGTTATGCTTTGACAGGTGAGTTAATAAGAATCATAGATGAACGCTTTTTCCTACCTCTCTTTGACGCTAACCTTGGACCTGCTTTAGGCAGAGGCTTTATACTCTCAGGTAGTATAATTGAATTTTTTAAAACTAAACTTTTAAAACTCAAGACAATTGTGACAACCATCCCGATATGTTTTGTGACAAGCAACCCCTTCTATGTAAGTTGCAAGACACCTGTAAATTTACCTAAAAGCGTGTGAATTTCATAAGAATATTTTGTGGATTAAGTTACTCAAATGAATAAAAGACTTTAAATATGTACATTAAATAAAATAATTTTCGTTTGGTAAAAGAAAATTTCTAAGTGAGCGAAATTTAACTTTTTAATTCAAAAACTTATAAAAATGAATACTTTTTTTTCTACATGCTAAAAAAGCTGAAAATTACAGTAAAAATTTTTTTTATATATAAAATTTCCATTGTATGATATTAAAGCTCTAAACCTTATCTAATAAAACATATGACAACTAACCCCGCGTGACAACCAACCCCGCTCTGCCTT